GTAAGACACGAGTACGTAAACCAGGGAATTGTTATAAAAAAAATAGCCCTGAAAAAAAGATTTCTACTCAACGCACGGCAGCTGAATGCCAGCACCCACGCAATGATGACATTGGACAGACACAGGTACATGTGAATATTGTGCATACTCATATTTCCCCTAGCTCTGTACCAAACTGGTCACTGCAGCCGTCCACAGGCGGCCCGCCAGTAACAGAGGAGATCGCCAACGTGACACTTTGGTTCCAGGACACCACGGAAGTGCAGTTTGCAGGAATGGGAACATCCAACCAAGTTCAGTTCTCAGGTGAGATGTGTAAACATTCAGGGATTTTGTTCTTGTTGTTGAAACAAACAAATACATGTAGTGTATGTTGTAACTGGCCTTTGGAGCTGAATATAGCTGAATTGGGCATAACCAGTTGCCCAGCTGCAGTTCAGTGCATGTAACCTGCAGTTGATGATATTACTGTAAAAGCCATTATTCTAACGAGGCGCATATATAACGATTTCCCAAAATTGACTAGTTTACGTGTACCAAAGGTAACGATTCTCACTCATTCTCAACGCTCAATAGGTCAGCATATGTATCGATTTCTGTATAACGATTTCTATTTTAACGACAGATTTCTCCTCATTAACTTGTTAGAGTTAGCACTTCGTTATAATAATTATAATATATGGTTTTTACAGTATTTGATGCAGCTGACTTGTTCATGGCAGCAGTGATCGACTTCCACACATCCGTGGGTGATTGAGTTACTGGTTTGATGTTGTCCATGTTCTTTTGCCCTGCAAATTCATACTGAATAGCCCATAAGTGGGTCATATGTGTCGTGTGCATGCCTTGTTGGTCACTTTATATCAATGTCGCCATGTCCTTCCTGTTTGCCCTTGCAGTTGGTTGGTTTAACACCACTACGCAGGCTGATGGCTCTGTGATGATTTATGGTGAGCTCATCTGCATAGTTTGTACTGTATATACACCCATTGTGTTCTGCGATGGCAAATTACCCTCAACTAGTGGTTGCCATTCACATCACTATGAACGTTTTGATCTCTAGACATGTGTTCTAAACATTATCTCCCCCCCCCCCCCCCCCGCAATCATACAACGGCCAAAATTCACGTCAGTAAAACTGCGCTATGGTCTCATGTTCTCTCAACGAATGCTACATGTATACTTATGTGTGGTGTGCTGCAGGGTGTTATGGAAACTTGGGCTTTTAGGACACCGGTGCATTCCCAATCATGTCGACATTCCCTGCATATGTACATGCATGTGTGCATATGCTTGTGCATATACTTGTGCGTTTCTTGTTTGTTCAGGCGTCGGGTTCAATGTATCTGCATCGTTCCTCTGTCAGTTCTCTAATACAACGTCACTGGGTGTGATGCTGCATGTCAATGCCACCACACAGCTGGCATCAAACAGCAGCTACATTCGCTGCAAACCACCACACTGGAACTTCACTGGCGATTCCAGGTCAGCACTCAACAGAATTGCATGTACTGTGCGTGCGTTTGTTTCTGTTTGCATGCATGTGTGTGTGTGTGTGTGTGTGTGTGTGTGTGTGTGTGTGTGTGTGTGTGTGTGTGTGTGTGTGTGTGTAAGAGGTGTGTGTTCAACGCCTGTGTCTTGTCGCTCTTGCTGTACGGTTCGGAGTGTTGGACGCCTCTTCAACGGGATTTGCAGCGGCTCTCTGTCTTCCACCACCGATGCATCCGCTCAATCATGGGAGTGTCTCGCCAAGAATGCTGGGATGACCACATCACCAATCACCAACTACGTGTGAGGTGGGGTGATCCCGACACCATCCGCACGAAGGTGGAGCACCGCCACCTTGAATGGCTCGGGCATGTTGCTCGGATGGAGGACCACCGGCTGCCGAAGCAAGTTCTCTTTGGCACGCTTCCGTCGCGTCGCCCAGCTCATGGCCCTCGTCGGCGCTGGAAGGATTGTATCATGTCTGACCTTCGTTCTCGCGGCCTCGAGGGGGAATGGCGAGCTGAAAGCGAGTCGCGTTCCACCTGGCGCTCGGCGTACTCAGCACCGGTAGATGCCCAGCATACCCCTCCCGTCACCTGCTACACCTGCGACCGACAGTTTACACGCCCCAGTGATCGCGCACGCCACAAGTGTAAGGCTGAGCGTGCGAAGCCGGTTGCGGAGCAGAAAGGTGCATGCCAGTGTGGAGAGTGTGGCCGTTGGCTGAAGTCCCGTGGAGGTCTGGCAAGGCACAAGTGTACTTACCCCCAGTCAGCAGTCGGTGCGCCCCTGCCGCTGCCTGCTTCTCCGCTGTGCTACGTCGCTCACTGCCAGGCTTGTGACCGCTGCTTTGCGTCTACACGTGGCCGCGCCCGTCATTGCTGCTCGCGGACTTGTAGTCGTCCGACCGTTCAGGACCGTCAGGGTTTCATGTGTGTTTGCGCCTGCTCCCGCCGATTTCGCTTACCGCATCACCTGGATCGTCACAGGGCTGTGTGCTCCTCCTCTCTCTCAGCTGCCCCTCCGGGGCCCATGTAACCTTCATGGCAGTGGCTCAACAGGACAACAGGACAGGACAGGTGTGTGTGTGTGTGCGTGTGTGTGTGCGTGTGTGTGTGTGTGTACCAGCGCGTACATGGGCGTGAGTGTGTGTTGACGGTGTACTCCTCCCCCCCCCCCCCCCCACACACACGGGTTCTGCTCATCCCGTCCTGATTTACCGAAGGAGCCGTCAATTGTGAAACTACGTACGCTGAAGTGAATTTGATTGATGATGGTGGATGATGATGACGGATGAACAATGATAGTTTCAGAGAGAGAGAGAGAGAGAGACACGCACCATGTGTGTTTGTGTGATCAATAGAATGTATAAACCACTAGCGATTGTGCAGCAGGACACCAGGCTATTCAGCGGTATTGCGATGACCTGGGAAATCCCTGGTTACGCAGTCAAACATTCAGACAGCCGTATGGAGACTTGTCTAGCATTGCTTTAAGCAAGGACTGTGGTAGTAAGATTGATTGATATTACATTATCAAGAGTACATAACCCCCAGAGTGTGTAACGCCTGATCCAGCTCTGCATAGGGTCTTGGTCGAGCATAAGCGGATCTTCTGATGGCATGCGTACACTGCACACCAGCGCAAGGCCGGTGTCGAAGCAGGGCACCGTTGTTTTTGATCCGAGGGTCACCGCAACTCCCCGGGTTCCCCTCAGATTTGTACGGTATTGTGACGCAAAGATCCGATTATGCTCGACCAAGACCCTATGCAGAGCTGGATCAGGCGTTGCACACTCTGGGGGGTTATGTACTCTTGATATTATATTTTTCAAGGATTCTGCAGAAGAAAATAGATGCCTATCAAAGGGAGTCTCCTAGTATGAACAAGCAGAGAATGAAGTCACATAAACATCACTATTGCTCTCTTTCGTATCTGTTCCTGTAGAATCAACGTTTTGACTCAGGTGCGTGTCTTTGAAGAGGATCGCGTGACAAAGGCAGTTCTCTATGAAGTCCCGTTCCGTGGCACACCAAAGAAGGATGACCTCTACACCTACTACCGGTGTCGTGATGGGGTAAGGGTCATGTGATCAGCCTCTGCTCTATATTTAAGGTAGCTCATGCCAAAATACGTTTTCCGAAAATTCACAAGTTTAACAATAGTTTGAAACCTATCTTTATTCATGATTCAACCCAGACAGCGAGTCACACTTTTCCTCGGTGGCATGATATAGGCATTCTGCTACTGGTCAGCAACTCGTATTACATGCTAATACTATGCGATTATGTGACCAGCCCATGATATGCGATCATGTGATCAGATTACATGTAGTGGTTGTGTTTGGTTACATGGCAAGTGTAATCATTCATCATCTCAATACAGTGAAACCTGTGACTGACGCCCACCCCTTCAGCCAGAGAAAGCGGTCTTTAGTGGCAGGTGGTCCTTAGTTAGAGGTTGCAACGCACAATCGTATATGAATGTGAGACTGTCCGTGCCTGGCAAAGTGGTCTTTAGTAACAGGCTGGTCGCTAGTCATGGTGGTCTTTAGTTACAGGTCTTTAGTAACAGGCTGGTCGCTAGTCACGGTGGTCTTTAGTTACAGGTCTTTAGTAACAGGCTGGTCGCTAGTCACGGTGGTCTTTAGTTACAGGTCTTTAGTAACAGGCTGGTCGCTAGTCACGGTGGTCTTTAGTAACAGGCTGGTCGCTAGTCACGGTGGTCTTTAGTAACAGGCTGGTCGCTAGTCACGATGGTCTTTAGTTACAGGTTTTACTGTAGTACATCTAAAAGTTCACGTATAGTCCATAGAGGGCCAAACCATAAAGAGATGTTCTAAATTACTTATCACTCACTAGAGTTAATGTATATATGGGTAGTAAGAAAGTACAGGAAAGGGAGCAACGCAATCTACAGCTGCACTGGATAGACAAAAATGACATGTTGGACAATCTTCAATGATCTTTGCAGAATCAGCGGATACGCATACATCCTATACATGCACTTGTAGCCTTTACAAGCACTGTTGTCATCTTATAGTTACCGCGGAAAGCATATGATGTTGAAAGTCAGCCGTCTGTCTTAAATCCACATCCCTTGGGATAGCAGCCGAATCCCCCTAGCAACAGAGTGCCCATGTTTGAACAAGTTTACATTGTGAGAATCTTGCCCTGTTATTTTCAATGTGAGAATCTTGCCCTGTATATGCATTTTTCATGTGACCACTGCGTGCCTGTACCCAGGTCAATAACGGAGCTGAAACCGACGTGGATTGCGGTGGGCTGTGCCCGAATCTCTGTCCACATGGCGCAAAGTGTAATGTGGACTCTGACTGCGTCGCTGGCACTTGCTCGAAAACGCTGAAGCAATGTTTATCGCGTAAGTGTCGCATGAGCAATGGATATAAACCTAGAGGATTTCAAGAAGTATCCCTAAACTTAGGTTCATGAATCTGGACAATAGTCTCTATGGTCTATGGTCCCGTGTGCACTTTCTAGTGTACTTTAAAGAAGAAATCTGAATGCATAAAAAAAGTTAGTGATGAGGCTTGCTGCAGCTTCATACAAAAAATTAATAGAAATGGTGTAGATCAGACCTGGTCTTTCCCAAATCCTGTACACTGCATGCAATCATTCCACTCATTTTCTTTTTACAGGTACAGTATTAGGAACACAGTTTCGGCAAAATTGCCCGCATCAGGATTGCAAGTTGGAGTTGGATGATTGCCGAGTGTTGTTCGAAAAGAGCAGTTCTGCTCTGCACCGCTTTTAAATGGTTGCAAAGAATTCTTGATAATAGAAAGGTTCCGCGTAACGTAATTACGTTAGTAAAAAAACGTAGTCGATTTACGGAAGTCTTACGTAAACTGCATGCGCATCTGTGTTCCGTCATACAGAGTTTCAAATCACGTAGCTGCCCTTGGCAAGTCCGAATGCGGCAGTGTACGACCAGATCGACATGGGGAGAGATTCATAAATTTGTACCCCAATCCCCTTACGGATCAGCTACGTTATCAGAGCCCTATCTACATACTCTACGTAGACAAATTTCCATAAGTGGAGTGCAAACTTACGACTTCACAGATTTTTCCCGCCCACTAACGTAAAGTTGCTCAACTTTACGTAGTGTGGAACCTCTCTATTCTCAACGACGGATGCGAGTAGGTCAGCCCATGTATATTGCACACAAACTACACAATATTTTTGCATGTGACAGTGATCATTGCTATTTACCTTGCTCGTCATGTGTTGGTGTTTTTTAGTCGGACAGTCTCCAACATCTCCGGCACCAAGTTGCCAGGCCATAACGTATAATTCAAGTGGTATAGCCTGGATCAAGTGGGCTGGCGCCAGTGGTGGATCTGTGCAGGTAGGTTGAACCCTGGAGTTGCACACAGTCAAGTCCGAATGCGATTGACTAAAGGCAAATCATGACACCCCATTGCATATAATTATACTGTTCTCTGCATTCTGGCCAAAACACATGCACGATATGTACATGTGCGGTTGTCCAGCTGTTATTCTGTGTGATGAGAAAATTATCGTATTAGTGGCTCCAGGTTACATGCTAATGGGGCTAGTCTTTACTGTTATCACCCAGCTTGCCACCAGTGTACTCTGTACTGTGTACTGTGTACTGTTCTCGTTCTGTTTTTCTAACTTATTATACCTTTTCACTGATGGTCCTTTATCACTGTCTTTTTCTCACTGTAGCTCCTCATTGTTGTTGTTGTTTTTTACCAGGCGTGGGCCATCCCCTGATTTCATACTCATAGGTGGCAAACATTTTTACGTTTTTCAAAAAATAAATCAATAAATGTTATTTCCTGTACTGTGTACTGTGTACTGTGGGACTACTGTACTGTGGGGCTAGTGTACTGATAAGTGACGTAGAATGTTTAAGGGGAAGTATACCCTAAAATCAAATTTTCACCAGTTGTAGTCTTCGGGGTGCTGAGTCGAATGGTCTTGGTCCGAGGAAGCTGAGACGCTCCCTTCCTCCTTTATTCCCAATCGAACTCGCGCACTTCCACCGAAACTGGGTGACTACGCCCTACTAGACAGGGATTTGTATCGAAAAAGTCACTAAAAACCCGTTTCGTTCTTATAAAAGCGCGGATGACCGCGATTGGTCCATATGTTGTAGTCTTTTGGCCGCTGAGTCGACTGGCTTTGGTCCGAAAAGGCTGCGATGCAGCATTCAGCCCTTATTCCCAATCGAACACGGTTGAGTGAGCGGTCACGTGCTTATTTACAGCCTGTTTGGGCCCGTTAATGTCACTCGAGCTGAACCTTTGAACCAGGGAGTCGTAAAAGCCTCTTACGACTCCCTGCTTTGAACCTTTGAGTTGAATCTTGATGTGAAAATTGTACTCTGCAGGCACGGTGACCAGGCGACTGGTGTACACATGAGCACGTGACCGCTCACTCAACAATGTTCGATTGGGAATAAGGGCCGAACGCTGCATCGCAGCCTTTTCCAAAACCAGTCGACTCAGCGGCCACAAGACTACAACATATGGACCAATCGCGGTCATCCGCGCTTTTATAAGAACGAAACGGCGTTTTTAGTGACTTTTTCCATACAAATCCCTATCTAGTAGGGCGCAGTCACCCTGTTTCGGTGGAAGTGCGCGAGTTCGATTGGGAATAAAGGAGGAAGGGAGCGTCTCAGCTTCCTCGGACCAAGACCATTCGACTCAGCACCCCGAAGACTACAACGGGTGAAAATTTGATTTTAGGGTATACTTCCTCTTTAAGCATAGGCTCAATAGAATGTGTGTGTGTGCGTGTGTGTGTGTGTGTGAGAGAGAGTGTGTATGTGCGTGCGTGTGTGTGTGTGTGTGTGTGTGTGTGTGTGTGTGCGTGTGTGTGTGTGTGTGTGTGTGTGTGTTTGTGTGTGTGTGTTTTTTTTGTATGCCGACATGCCGGTATGCAGACCTATTGTTTGTTGGACAAGTCAATCGATGGTGGTGGATGGACCATGGTATGGAAGCACTCCTACTTTGAGGTAAGCACATATTCATCAGAGGACCTCTTTCTCTTTTTACTTCGCACCACCCTGGGTATGTTTTAAGAATGTTATTAATGTTCGCATTGATTAACACTGATTGCAGGGCAGGCAGGCATAGTGGGATGGTCTAAGACCATGATTGAGAAACAGAGGGTACCAGGTGCAAGTCCTGCTTGGAAGCGGAAGGATTTTTTCCAGCCGTGCTACGACCCACAGTAATTTGGGAACTTGTGGCCTCGCACAAGGGATGCATGGATGCAGGGAATGGGAATTTCGGTCTTTGACCACTTTGGTGGTGGGTCTGATCTACTCACCTCTCACCGTTTTAGGCCTCGGTCACACTACGGCAAAAAGCTGCGTCAGCGTCAGAATCATGAGCTTTTCCATGGCAACTGACGCAACCGCGGGAAGTTTGAGCGTCAGACGCTGCTGCGTCTGACGTGGGGAAATCGGCTGCGTTGCCGCTGATGGAAGTGACGCTTGGCGGAAAAACAGTGTCTTTCAAGTAAAATAATAATTAGTTTCAAGACAGTTGCTTGAGTTGAGCTGGGCAGTCATTCGACATTCGTCTCTTCAAGGTTTGTTTTGTTCCCTCTTTTTTCGAGATGAGTCCGTGGACCTACGAGGCAGAGGCTGCTCTGCTCCGAACCTGGCGGAAGAGCGAGGCGTTTTCTGAGAAGAAAATGATGTCGAGAAAGGACCAGTTGTTCGAGTGGGTCATCGGCCAACTGAAGCCTGTTGACTTGTGAGTGTTGTGTTGCTGTCAAGAGCCCCAAAAGGACAACCAGTATGACGAAGTCAGGAGAAACACAGCTGCGATGCGGACTTTTCTTGCCTGATCCATGACACTACAACTGAAAATGGTTTCAAATTCGGAAAGAAACAACAACGATCGTGCACGCGCGTGGACCTTTCGTCTTCATCAAAAATCAATGAAAAATTTGAAAACTTTGTCCGACAATTTTTTTGTATAATAAGCAAAAGGCCGGTTTCCGTGGGAATCCGTGTCATCATTGAGTTTCCCTGGTGATTTTGTGATGTAGACAAATGGTCAGGCCGCGGCAGTCATGAGCTGCGAAAAAACAAAACACTGTGTGACCCCGCGTCTGCGTCAAGTGCTGCGGCTTGACGCTGCGTCCAGCTTCAAACTTGCCGAGTGTTACCGAGGCCTTAGGAGCTGCATCTGCGCCTTGATCTTTGAGGGTGGTGGCGTCCCAGCGGATGCGGAAAATTCGGTCTCCAGCTAAGTCTCACGCGAACCGCGAATCTTTCTTTTAAAATCGGTTGTGGCGACAAACGCGATTAGGCCGGCTGCAGGGACGCCGTAATGTCGCACTCGCCCCAGCACCATTCAAACAGTTCCCTTTGGCAGTTCACGGCACGAACTTCAACAAAGCCCCGTGAATGCGTACTAGGGGAAGGCTAGACAGCATGTCTCTAGACATCAATAGGCATCGTATGAAAAGCCAGTCAATAGCACTAAAGAGCGAAAGCCTTTGTCACGGTTCGGTTTCACTCGCGCACCGGGCCCGAGCTGCCAGCGCAAACAAATGCCGGGCGCGAGCTGGCAGCACGAACAAACACCGTACTCACACGAGACCGCTGGGCCAACGGATGGCCACAGCCATCAAAAACAGGAACAAACCCATCCACGGCTCTTTCTCTTGCTAGCTGTGCTGCTGCGTGCATCCAACTGTTTTGCAATTTCTTTCTTCCTTGTTGCAATTACTCGGCGAGATTTGAAATTTCTAAAGTTCCGCAGTCGCAGGAGATCCTGAGCCGTCACCATGAGCTCCGTGCCATCACTTTCCGATCTCCGCCAACTCAAAGTCGACGGAGTTGAAACTCGACTGCGAGAACTGGGGCTTTCTTGCTCAGGCAATTTTAGAGCCCAGGTGAGCCGTCTGCATGAGCATTTGTCGGCCCAGGCAAGAAACAAAGCTAAGTCTACGAGCCAGGTCGCAAAAAAAAAGACCACGCGTCGGCGGGCTAGTCCTGCAGTCCCGGCCACTCAAAGCCCCGCGGCCGCGACCCAGCCTGACTCGTCGCTCGCGTTCCCGTCGCAGCAATCTGCCGAGATCTCTCGGGTCGTGCAAGATGCAGTGGCGTCCTGCATGACGTCATTGACAACTTCGATGGGTCTACCGGTGGTACCTCCACATGCACAGCCAACTGTAGCAGCAGCAACAGCAGCACAGCGGGCTGGTCCAGTCTCTGGTGATGTTGTGGTGCCTGACTCTGAGCCTGAATATGTCCAGCCTTCACTGGCTTCAGCACTAAGACCAGACCAGGAGAGTCTCTTCCTGGACGGCGATTTGCTCGCCCCAGAGCGTCCACCATCCATCCCATTACCTGCCCTCAGCGACCATCTCACGGACAAGATTATCAAACGTGAGTACGTTGATTTTGGTAGGGTACTGGGAGAGCTGGCTTTTGATACGAGCATGGGTCCGGACAGTGGGTTCACCCTGCAGGGGACGGGGGACCACATCACCCTTGTGCCATCTGCCATGTCGTCGTCATCCCGTCTAAAGAAAGTTGTAGACTTGACATCGTGGTTGGAGGCGTTCTCAGCCTTCGCCCAAGTAGCCCTCCACCACGACCCCGGCAGAGGTCCGGAATTATTCAAGTACCAAAGCACAATCGTGAAAGCGGCCGCACGCTATACATTCGGTGCGTGGTCTGGCTTCGACATGTCGTTCCGTGCAAGAGCTGCACGCAGCAAATCTAGCCTTGCCACGTCAGATCCGGAACTCTGGTCGGAGTGGTTTACAAACTCCATCCTGCCTCCCTGCCGTCACTGCAACCGGCAAGGTCATTTAACAGTTCGCTGCCCCCGCGCCCGTAGCCTAGCTTCACTGTCTGACGGGCCAGCAGCCAAACGCCCCTTTCCGGCACAGCGGTCAGGGGCTACCGCTCACCCAAACGCCCCAGCTGTCTGCCGCGACTACAACCAAGGCCGCTGCCAACGCGCAGCCTGTCGCTACGGCCACCAGTGCAGCACATGCTTTGGCAGCCACCCCGCCAAGTCATGCCCAGGAAAGCCAGCCGCCGCCAGCCGCGACCAATAGCTCGCAGTTGCCCAGCTTGGAGACTCGGTCACTCCAGTCACTCACCGGTAACTCTACACTCACCCAGGCCAATAGCACTCACACACTCTGCCCAGCTGCTCACATCTCTCCTACACGCACCCTCGCTCACGAGCCAATCCATTTGCACACGCCTGTAACCCCCATTAACGTTTCTTACCTGCAGGACGCTTTGTGTCAGCATCCTGATCCGGCTTTTGCCTCATTCGTAATACATTCTTTGTCTTACGGGTTCGATATTGGGTTTGCTGGTCCCCGTACCTTCCGAGTCTCTCGTAATCTCAAATCAGCGATTGAGCACCCTGACATTGTCGATGCTGCCATCGGTCGTGAAATTGCCGCAGGTCGCATGGCCGGTCCCTACCAAGAGCCCCCCTTCACACTTACACAGGTCTCCGGTTTGGGTGTGGTTCCCAAGAAGTCACGGTCGGTGCAAAAATGGCGCTTGATTATGCATCTGTCAGCACCACAGGGCCACTCAGTGAACGATGGTATCCCTGTCGACAAATTCTCTGTACAGTACTGTTCGGTCGACGACGGCGTAAATCTCGCACGGTCCCTAGGCCGTGGCTGCCATCTGTGGAAGGTCGACCTCCAAGACGCATTTCGCATTTGTCCAGTACGGAAAGAGGACTGGGAACTATTATGCCTGTTCTGGCGCGGGCAATATTACGTGGACAAATGCCTACCCTTCGGCCTTCGCTCATCACCGTCGCTGTTTAACAAAGTCGCAGACGCCCTCCAGTGGGTCATGTCGCACAACTTCGACGTAGCCCCAGTCATCCACTACTTAGACGACTACAGGTAGACTCCCTTTAATTCGAACCTCAAATTGCCAGGCCCTGACTTCGAATTATCCAGAACTTCTAATTATCCAAATGCAGCCCCATGCACTGATATGTATGTCAAAATGCTTGAAATCGCTTGCTGAATATTTTTTGCACATTTTTATTTGCATCAATGAAACATAGGTACGTGTCATGTACAACGGATCATCAAAACACTGGATCGACACAAAACCATTTTGACATCTTCTAGTGAAGAAGTTGTCAGTCACTGCAGCTTTCCTGAAACAATTTCAACGGAAAAGAACTGCGCTGCCTAATCGGCGTCATGAAAGGCCGTTGGACAGCAGCACGTCGTTCTGAAGAACGGAAGTGGAGCAAAGGCATAGACAATATTTACGACAATAGTGTTGTTGTGCGCCAACATCTCCGCGCACGAGCTGGCGCGGTAAGAAAGGCCATCGAGATCCGCGAAGAGAGTCAGCCACCAGGAAGAAGTCGTCTTCAATCAAACCTTTGCAATTTGCCTCGCACGGGCTTGAATCAAATTTCGAGAGAAGGTGGGTTTCTTGAACGCTATAGTCGATCCTGCAGCGGACCATCGATCGATTTTTGAGCTACTCTTGGCTAGAGAAGGAGAAAAGAATGAACTTCGAATTACAAGGATTGCAACTCAATCTCACTTCGAAATAAGCGTTCAAAGGACATAGCCAATGTACTGTAAACAGCTCTTCTGTACGAAGACTGGGTTCGAATTATCCAACCGGCGCACTTTTCGTACTTCGAATTATGCATTCGATTTTGACTTGAAGTGACTTGCAGAAGATCGGTACGACGAAAAAGTTCGAATTACACGGAATGTTCGAATTATACCGTATTCGAATTAGAGGGAGTCTACCTGTACCTTGGTGGAGCGACGGACTCTATCGGCGCACAGCACCAGCTTGACCGTGCCCTGGTAGCCTGCCACGACTTAGGCTTCCCGGTCAATCCAAAAAAGGTGGAAGGCCCTAGTACAACCCTGACATTCCTCGGTGTCATGCTGGACACAGAGCGCTTCGAAATCCGCCTCCCATCCGACAAGTTAGAAGACCTTCTCATTGCCCTCAAGGCTTGGCAACAT